CCCCACCCTCATGGCTTTGAAGAAAAGAGTCCGACCTGCATTTTACGGCCCGGGACAGACGGCACCCAGGCATCCGGGCGGGCCCCGCTGCCTGCCCAGAGCTGGGGAAGGAACCCAGGCGTCCAGGCTCCCACCCCTGCCCTGCTGGCAACCTTGAACCTATTTACAAGAGGAAGGGATGCCCCTCTGCAGCTCCACCCCCTCCAAGACCGTGATGAGACCCCCCCGCAGCTTCCAGACAGGCAATGACAGCCCCTGTGACGTTGGGGGGGCGCACTGGGCAGGACTAAAGGGCCCAGAGCTGGGGAAGGAACCCAGGCGTCCAGGCTCCCACCCCTGCCCTGCTGGCAACCTTGAACCTATTTACAAGAGGAAGGGATGCCCCTCTGCAGCTCCACCCCCTCCAAGACCGTGATGAGACCCCCCCGCAGCTTCCAGACAGGCAATGACAGCCCCTGTGACGTTGGGGGGGCGCACTGGGCAGGACTAAAGGGGGCAGAGGGGCGTGGCTTGTAGAAAGAGGCAGGGCCTCAGCCCAGGGGTGGGGCCTATGGGAGGAGGCGGGGCCTCTGCCCAGGGGGCAGAGCCATCCTGTTAGGGGCTGTGCCTCCCCCCCACAACTGGTTGGAAGAGGCTCAGCTTCCCTGGGCGGGGCCTGGCAGGAGGGGCGGGGGTCCCCCCCCTGCCCCCCCCCCCCCCCCCAAAGAAAGCCCCCCTCCTGGCGTTTTGGCCCATCGCCGCCGTTGAGGAAGGCCTCGCGCGCCTCGCCATGCTCGTCCAGCCCACTCGCCTCATGCGTCAGGTAGGAGCCTGCCAGGTGTGCGGTGTCAGAGCACGGGGCGGGACCGGCCGGGCCGCACCCCGCCCCGCCCCCGGCCCCGCAGCACTCACCCTTCTGCCGGATGGAGCACCACACCATGACGATGAGAACGCAGATGACGAGGAAGACTAGCAGGGCCAGGATCCCACCCACGATGGCAGCCCACTCGCCTCATGCGTCAGGTAGGAGCCTGCCAGGTGTGCGGTGTCAGAGCACGGGGCGGGACCGGCCGGGCCGCACCCCGCCCCGCCCCCGGCCCCGCAGCACTCACCCTTCTGCCGGATGGAGCACCACACCATGACGATGAGAACGCAGATGACGAGGAAGACTAGCAGGGCCAGGATCCCACCCACGATGGCGTAGGGCACGGAGGTCTGCGCCTCCACGATGGCTCCTGGGTCTGGCAGGCGAGAAGGGGTTGAGGCAGCAGGAGTGCAAAGCCAGCATGCCCGGGCGAAGCGCGGCGGGGAGCAAGGCTGCTTGCTGGGAGTGGGTCGGTGCTTACCGTAGACAACGAGGACGTACTGGTCAGAGGCACGCCCGTGCTTGTTGGCGGCCTGGCAGGCGTAGGTGCCGTTGTCCAGCAGGCTGAGCGCTGGGATGGTGAGCACCTCACCCTCGACACGAGCCCGCTCCGGCAGCGAGTCGTTGGCCCGGCTCCACTGGATCTTCGTGGGGCTGCGGGACAGAGGCAGAGAGTGAGGGGATGCTGGTGACAGCAAGTCCCCCATCCCCACCGTGTGTTCCTGGAGAACTGCAGCATCCCACCACCCCATGCTGCGAGCTTCCCCTGCCCAGCGGTGCCCTGCCCAGGGTACTGACCGTGGGTTGCCATTGACAGCGCAAGTCAAGACCAAGGTGTCTCCCTCCCGGTGGATGCTCTGCGAGGGGTGGATCCGTGCCACAGGGGAGTCTGGTGCGGGGGGAGAGGTGCTTTAGGGGAGGCAGCACGGAGTGGCGTGGCCCCCCCCACAGCCACATGCCCCGCCCCCGATGCTGTCTCATGGGGCTGGGCCCCTCCTGGCTCACACTGCACGTCAAGCTGGTACTGGGTCTGCTTGCGCTGGCCGCGCAGCGCTGTATTGGTGGCCTCACAGGTGACGATGGCGCCGTGGTCCTTGCGCTCTACGTGGAACCGCACCGCATTGCGCACCGCAAACACCTTCCCCAGCTGCTCCTGGCTGCTCACTCCTGCGAGGGCAGGGGGGGTGGGGTGAGGGGTGTGGCCCTGCCCCCATTGGGACCCATGCCCGCCCCAGCCTGGGCCCCGCTCACCTTTCAGCTCCCGCCGGTCACGGGACCAGCGCAGAGAGGCAGGCGGGCGGGACCGAGGCACGATGCAGGTCAGCTCCACCTCGCCACCCTCCACCGCCTGCTCCTTCACTTCCACGATGGGGTTGTCGGGGGGCACTGCGGGCACAGGGCAGGGGTCAGGGGCCTGGCACCCCCCCTCCACAGGGCATAGCATGCCCCTCATGCCTTCCCAGCAGCACCTAGGTCACCCCCATCCCCTCCCAGCGGAGACCCTAGTGGGAAGCAGCCCCCAGGCACCCCCCGGCACACCAAGCACAGTGAGGGTGGCGATCTGGTGGTGGGTGTCCTCGGTGTAGAGTTGGCAGAAGTAGCCGCCCTCGTCCTCCAGCCGCACGTCCGAGAGCTGGATCCGCACCTGGCGCTGCGTGAACTCCACCAGCTGGAACCGCTCATCCTTCAGTGCTGGTGGGCAGACGGATGAGGTCAGCGGGCATCAGTGCCTGCTGCGGCTACGGCAGCCCCCCAGCCCGACCCCCCCGACTCACCGCGAGTGCCGTTGAAGAAGAGGGTCTGGCGCGAGGGGTTCTGGATGACCACGATGGAGCCGTCGTACTGGTGCAGGCGGCAGTTGATCTCGGCCACGCCGCCCTCTGCCACCGTCACGTTCTCAGCCTGCACCTCCTGCGCCAGCCCTGGGGAGGAGCAAGGAGGTTAGACACGGCCCAGCATGGGACGTGCCCACAGGAGCAAATGCCCTCCCCATGCACACGCATGCAGAGCCCAGGTGTCCGGGATGGACCTGGATGGATGTGCAAGTGCACACGCAGAACCCAGACCCCAAGATGGACATGCATGTGTACACGCAGATGGGACATGCATCCTCCTCGCCCCGCCTGGATCTAGGCGGTTCAGGGCTGCAGGTCCGGAGTGAGGGGCACTGGAGGGAATGGGGGGGGTCCTGCTGCTCCTTTAAATCCCTGGATGTTTGCTCTCTGCTGCTCTGACTTCATGACGGGTTGTCATGGGAACGGGGCTGATGAGTGGGGGGGGCGTTCTTTGGTGGGGATTAGGGAGGGCAGGACCAGTGGGG